CCCCGCATCGGGCTCCCTGCTCCACAGGAAGCCTGTTTCTCCCTCTCCCTCTCCCTCTCCCCCTGCTTGTGATCTTGCTCTCACTGTGTCTCTCTCTGCCAAATAAATAAATAAAATCTTAAAAAAAAAAAAATTCTCACATAGACTCATTAAAACTGCAGACCATTAAAGATAAAAAGAAGCTCCAACGAACAAATAGAAAGAAATGATGGATTACCTATAGAAGGACAATTAAATGAACATCAAACTTCTCAAATGCAACAAAAGAATTCAACAAAATCTCTTCAAAATACTGACAGAACATAAATGGCAATCTACAAATCTATGGCAAAATAAAGACATTTTCTGGCAAGGCAAAGGGAGGGGAGAAAGAAAAGAGAAGAGAAAGCCTTTAGTTTACCACTAACAGACCTTACAGTATTAAAACTAATTAGAAAAAAATGTAGATTAGCTGGGCCAGTTTCTGGAATATATAGAAAACAGCATCAGTATTTTTAACCAGGATGAAGCTTCGGAGACAGCTAAAACCTAAAATTATGGCTATTTCCAACATCAAATCAAAGATACTTAGTCACGATTGCATATTTTCTCTCTACTATTTGGGATGATACAAACCCTATTCACTTGATTAACCTGAAATTTTTAATATGCCTTCATAACTAAACAAAGTCTATAGCTGGTCAATATCTTACCTCCTGAACAATACAAGGACCTAAGAATCAATTCTACCCAAGCATGTCAATAATTATAGTTCAGTATTTTAGTTCTACATTTTTTAGCTTTACAAATTAAATATAATTATCACTTTTGATCAGATCTCATTCTTTTTTGCTTTCTTTTTAAAATGCTAAATAAAAATATCTCTTCACAGACTACCAAGGGGAAATATTAAAATTTTTCAATGAAGATTCAGGAGAGCAGCAAGGGCATGTGAGGTAATCAACATCTCATAAATAGTTCCCAAATAAGGTCTTTTCTTGCTTAGCTGTATCATGCATGCCTGCCCAACATTTTGTACAAAAATATTCATGTAGCCTTATTCATAAGAGCCACCAACTGAAAACCACCGAGATGTCCATCAACAGATGAACAAACTGTATTATATTTATATAGTAGAATAGTACTCAACTATAAAAAGGAAAAAAACTACTGATATTTACAATAACAAATTAATCTCAAAAATATGATGCTGAGTAAAAGAAAATTTATATAAAAGAATATATGCTGTAATGATTCCATTTATATGAATTTCTAGAACAGCAATAAACTAATCCCTGGTGGAAAATAATGGAACAATGGTTGCGTCTGATGGATAAGGATGAGGAGTAAGTGAAAAAGGACATGAAGGAACTCTCTGGGGGAGTTAGTAATGATCTGTATCTTGACAAGGATTTGGATGAGACAGTTATACGCATTTGTTACAACTCATGAAATGGTTCACTTAAGAACTATACATTTCATTGTACAGTTGACCTGTGAACAACTTGGAGGTTAGGGGCAACAACTCCCAGCACAGTCAAAAGTCTGTATATATAACTTTGATTCCTCAAAAACTTAAGTACTAATAGCCTACTCTTGACCAGAAGCCTTACCAGTAACATAAACAGTTGATTAACACATATTTTGTATGTTATATGTATTATATACTATATTCTTACAATAAAATTAGCTAGAGAAAAGAAAATGTTAAGAAAATCGTAAGAGAAAATATCTTTGGGGCGCCTGGGTGGCTCAGTCGTTAAGCGTCTGCCTTCGGCTCGGGTCGTGATCCCAGGGTCCTGGGATCAAGCCCCACATCAGGCTCCCTGCTCAGCGGGAAGCCTGCTTCTCCCTCTCCCACTCCCCCTGCTTGTGTTCCTACTCTTGTTGTGTCTCTCTCTGTCAAATAAATAAATAAAATCTTTAAAAAAAGAAAAAAGAAAATATCTTTACAGTATAGTAGTATATTTATCCAAAAAACCTGCATATAAGTGTACTTGTGCAGTTCAAGCCCATGTTGCTCAAGGGTCAACTGTATATACATTTTATATTAAAAGAAAAATACATAAATATTGAACTTCAGTTAATGATATGCATACGGAAGTATACTAATTTCAAACTTCCATGGAAGTGCATCAGAAAAATAAGACCAATGACAGATGGATATATACATGAGATCAGGTGTAGAATCTGGGTGGTAGGTGTATTAGATTCCCAGGGCTGCTCTAACAAATTACAACACATTTGTTGGCTTAAAAGAACTCAAATTTATTCTATTACAGTTTGGGAGGTCAGAAACCTGAAATGTTCTTAACTAAAATCAAAATGTTGTCCACATACCTTCTGAAGTCTCCACAGAAAAATTCCTTGCCTCTTCCAGCTTCCACCTGCATTCCTTGACTCATGATTTGCTTCCACCATCTTCAAAGGCAGCAGCACAACATCTTCAAATCTCTCTCTGACCACGCCCCCTACTTCTGTCATCACATCTTTTTTTCTGATATTATCCTGCTTCCTTCTGATTCTAAACCCTTGTGACATTGGGCCCACCTGAGTAATCCAGCAAAATCCCTCCATCTCAAAATTCATAACTTTATCACATCTGCAAAATCCTTTTTTTAAAGTTTTATTTATTTGACAGAGAGAGAGAGAGAAAGAGAATGGGGGAAAGACAGAGGGAAAGAGAGAGAATCCCAAGAAGGCTCCATGGCCAGTGTAGAGCCCGATGTGGAGCTTGATCCCACAACCCTGAGATCATGACCTGAGCTGAAACCAAGAGTTGGAGGCTCAACCAACTGAGTCCTCAGGCACCCCTGCAAAATTCCTTTTGCCATGTAAGGTAACATATTCAAAGTTTCTGAGGATTAGGATGTGGACATCATTGGGATGCCTTTATTCTACCTACCCCGGTGGGTATATGGGTGTTTACTGTGAAATTCTTTCAACTATTGTGTATTTTTTTAATATTCCTAATAAAATATGGGAGAAAAATTAAAATTCCACAATAGGGATAAAGTGTTACCATCATGGTAAATGTGAAAATCAATACGTCTCTTTTTCCAATAAAAGGGAGGAATTTTTCCCCTTCTTAAGAATAAAGCTCTTCTTTCAATGAAGAATATTATTAAAAGTAGCATATACTCCTGCACTTAGTTATTGAAAACACGGTTCCTGTTGCTACCCTGAAACTATCAAAAGATTTTTATAGGAAGCTTATTTTTTAAGTTGGAAATATAAACAGACCAAATATAATGCTTGAAACACAGTAAAACAGAATATGAAGTTCTAAACAGTTACCTAAAGTTGTTTTAACTTAGAAAAAACACCACTTTAAGCTATTCTTACAAAAATAATTTATTACTGCTTACCCAACATATCCTTTTTTAGCAGGATTTCTTCTTTATTAAAATAGGCTTTAATTATACAGATAATAAGTACCTTTATATAGGATGAACATTGTGGTAATTAAATTTTCTTATTATGATAACAAGTTTCAATATTTTTAAATCCTAGAACAAGAATCACATAATAAAAATGTTGTTTCAGATCTTTTTTCTCACAGCTCATTTTCAGGAAATCACCAAATTCTATTGATTCTCCTTCCTATCTCTTCTTTTTTTTAAAGATTTTATTCATTTATTTGACTGAGAGAGCACAAGCAGGGGGAGCAGCAGAGGGAGAGGGAGAACTCAGGCTCCCCGCTGAGCAGAGAGCCTGAAGTAAGGCTTGATCCCCAGGACCCTGGAATCATGACCTGAGCCAAAGGCAGATGCTTAACGACTGAGCCACCCAGGTGCCCTCCTTCCTGTCTCTTCTGTTCTATTTTCACAGTTATATATAAATCCTAATGACCCCAATTCCTAGTTCATTATTACAGTAGTTTTATAGTCTATTTTCTTCTCTCCAAAATTGTACCAACTCCCATCTATCTTACAGAAAACTGACAACAGAGGTGCCTCGGTGGCTCAGTCATTAAGCATCCGCCTTCGGCTCAGGTCATGATCCCAGGGTCCTGGGATCAATCCCCGAATCGGGCTCCCGGCTCTGCAGGAAGCCTGCTTCTCCCTCTACCAGTCCCTCTGCTTGTGTTCCCTCTCTCGCTATGTCTCTGTCAAATAAATAAATAAAATCTTGAAAGAAAGAAAGAAAAGAAAAGAAAAGGAAAGAAAGAAAGAAAAAGAAAACTGACAACACACGCTTCAAATTTAGACCCACAGAGTCTCAGAAATGAAAGGCTTTTAAGGGGTTTTGAACAATACAGATCTGCTGAAACCAAACAACTTTTACAATTTTATATAGGGGCGCCTGGGTGGCTTAGTTGGTTAAGCATCTGACTCTTGACTTCAGCTCGGGTCATGATGTCAGGATCGTAGGATGAAGCCCCATGTTGGTCTCCCTTCTTGTCCCTCTCTCTCTCCCTCTGCTCCTCCCCTGCTCATTTGCTCTCTCTCCCTCTTCTCTCTCTCTCTCTCAAATAAATTAAAAAAAAACTTTAAGAAAACCAATTTAAGTAGATATTTCCTTTCTAAATAAATACCTCAAGAGTTATCACTTTAAAAAATAAGGACATACTTATTCTTTGAATCAGAATACTTACTACATACATTTATTTTGTCACTCAAAAATGTATTGCTCTTTCATTACTTAATCATTCATAGGCACCTATCTCATAGCGTTTAACAAAAATGTAATTTCTTGAAGAGCAGCTCCTTTTTATCAGCCATAGTGTCTAACTACGTGCTACCTATGCACTCCCAGGCACTTGGAGGTAAATACTAACTGACTTACCAAGTATTTAACAATCTGAAAATCCATTTTACTTTTTGCTTTATAAATTCTTCTTTTTCCTTCTGTGATATCGACTATATCTGTTTTTTTCTCTTTTACTTCATTATCTGGACCATATTTCTTCTTTCAAAATAAGAAGTTATTTTGTTAGGCCTTTTTTTCCCCCCTTAAACCAAATGGCTGAATAAAATCAAGTTCCTTGATTAAAAAAAGCATTTTAAAAATGAGCTTACCCTTCTCATACGTAACTCTTCTAATGCTTCCAGTAAACTTGTTTTGAAATCTAATAGCTGAATAGAAAACATTGTCTCCGAAGAACTTTGAAGAGCAAAGGTAGAGGATGACAAATCAGTCTTAAAATCATTCTCCATATTAACATTTATTTCCTGTAATATAAAAAGGTTTTAACTGAAAAAAATCATTTATCTAAGTTTTTAAAGTACAAGTGCAGGTACCATAGAAATGTAACAACCTGTATCCCATAATCCTCTAGGTTTAACACTGAATAACAGTTTTGTCATCACTCCTATTCTGATCTTGATACACAAAACACTGAGCAATGATGATCCACCTACAGTTTCTCTGTGGCTGAGGCTTTTTCTGTTACTTTAGTATCTGCAGGGACTAAATTTTTGACATGCCCCTAAATGCCATGTCCTAAAAGCTAGATTCCTAAAGTTGCAGGCAAGGCTTGACCCTTCAGTAATTGCTTCGTACCGAGGCTGCCAGACACCGTGCTTCCTAACTTTGCTTTGATATACAGCATTCTGTAAGGATGGTATGAATACTAACAGTAATGCAATCTTTAAACCCTACAAAGTTGAAAGAGGAGAAGTGGAGTAACTGCCTTTTATTAAAACTCAAGGCACTTATATATCTTTCTCAACCCAGATAATGTATGATTCGGGCTGCAAGAAACTTCTCTTTTCAACTTTTCGTAATAATAATTATCAATTCATAGACAGTTGGAAAGAAATGTACAGGGAGTCCTATACACCATTCACTCAGCCTCTCCCAATGTTAGTATCTTGCAGAATAATAGTACAATATAAAAACTGTATGTCTGACATTGGTACAATCCACAGAATTTATAATAATTCTACCAGTTATACATTCACTCATTTGTGTGTGGGTGTGTGTATAATTCTTTGCAAGATTGTATCTATAGCTTCATGTAACTACCATTACAATCAAAATACAGAATTGTAGCATCAACCATGGTTCCCAGCTTCTTTGTTTCCATACCCACTACTACACTAATCCATTCTCTATTTCTATAATTGTTATTTCAACAGTGTTATATAAATGGAATCTTACATCACGTAACCTATTAACTGGATTTTTTTCAGGGGTGCCTGGCTGGCTCAGTCGGTAGGGCATGTGACTCTTGATCTCAGGGTTGTGAGTTCAAGCCCCATGCTGGGTATTGAGATCACTTAATTAATTAATTAATCTCCCCTAATAAAAAAAGATTGGATTTTTTTTTCACACATAATAATCACCTTGAAGTTCATCTAAGCTGTTGTACCAACAGTTCATTCCTTTCTATTGCTGAGATATGTCCATGGTATGGACATATTATGGTTTGTTTACCATGCACTCACTCACTGAAGGACATCTGAGTTGTTTTCAGTTTTGGCTTTTATGAATAAAGCTGCCATGAATGAACATTCATATACAAGTTTCTACATGATGTAAGTTTTCATTTCTTAAAGATAAATGTCCAAGAGTACAATTGCTGGGCTGAATAAATAAAGTCCACTTTTGGTTGTGAAAAAAACTGCCAAACTATTTTCCAGAATGGAAATACCACTTTCCATTCTCACTGGCAATGTATGAGTGATCCAGCTTCTCCAAATCCCCACCAACATTCAATGTTATCACTACTTTTTATTCTAGCCATTCTGATAGTATTATTTTAGTAAGCATTACCCAGAGAAACAGAGCCAATAGGATGTATATGTAGAGAGAGAGATAAATTTATTTTAAGGAATTGGCTCATATGATTGGGAGTCTGGCAAACCTGAAATGTTCAGGGCAGGCCAGCAGGATGGACACTCAATGAAGGGTTGACCAAAGCAATCCAGAAGCAGAATTCCTTCTTCCTTGGGGAACTTTAGTCTTTTCCTCCTAAGGCCTTCAACTGTTTGGATGAGGACCACCCACATGATGGAGGGTAATCTGCTTTATTCAAAATCTACTGATTTAAATATTATTCTCATTTAAAAATTACCTTCACAGCAGTATCTAGACAGGTATTTGGCCAAATACATTTGGTCGGTATATTTTTTTTATATTTTTTAAAATGAGTTTACCCTTCATAGCCTGGCCAACTTGACCCATAAAATTAACCATCACAGATGTGTATACAAGAAACTTTCTAAAAGGGAAACTTCCATTCCTGAAAATGATGGGCTATGTTATCTGGATGAAGCCTCCAACTAAAAACAACTAATAATTTTGAATAAAATATTTTTAAACTTTCTTAAAAGTATCAAAGACCTAGCAAGATACTAAGAAAAAAAAATCATGAAGCCAAATTCTAAATTCCAAAAAGACAATGAGTCAAGAAACAAACTGAACACAGAAAGCCATCTTTACCCTGTGGGCACTTGCCAAACCGAATAAAATTAAATAACAGCACTGACGACCTCTGATTTGAGAAATAGGTACTGCAAACCTAGGGCCTGCCAAAGTAGGAAGTCCAATAAGAGACCTATTAAGTAGAATTCAGAAGAGTTAAACTCAGGAAAGGTTGAAGCAAAAATAACCTACCTTCTATATGATAACTGCCTAGGTGCCAAGCAGATGAAACATAAAGAAGAAGAAAGGAAACAAGAGACAAGGAAGGAGAAAATAAAAAATGTCACATCCCAGAAAGCTGTAAACGACTTAATTTCAGATGAGTTTGTTAACAAAGATTGTTTCACAGGATGATGAAAGAAACCTCAACTTATGAATAGGATTTCAAATGTTTCTAGACTGGTAGTGCCCATAAGAACCTGGCAGAAACAAATAAAAATTCTTTCCAGAGAAATGTAACTGTATTGTAGGTACTCAAAAAATCTTCACAAATTATTTTTCAAGGACAATGAGTAAAGCATAAAGATAATCAGGCATGGAACACAACAGTACCTTATGAGAACAAGCAGAAAAAAAAATAGATAATGGAAACAATCTGCAAAGGAGATTTTTAAAAGATCCCAGGATAATTTCTAGATAGGGAGAGTATATATAATCAACTGATAACTCAATATGTTTGGCAAAGACAAGACATAGCTGAAGAGATTAGGTACAATATCAAGAATGCAGCAAGGAAATATAAAAATGGAAAGTACAGAAGAAAGGTTAAGAAAGATGGAATATAAAGTGAGAGGCTATACCAGTTCCAGAAAGAAGAAGAAAGAAATAAAGAGACATAAACTATATTCTGAAGAAATAACAGCTGAGAATTTTCCAGAACTGAAGAAAACACCAAGATTCAGATCAAGAAGTCCAGTGAACCCAAAAATACTGCCTTTGATTTAATTCTGACTGAAAAGAAAAGAACATGTAGGTTGCATTGAGAAACTGAGAGAAAGGAGTTAATTTTTTGTTTTAATTTCATGTTGAATTAATTGTACTTAGTTCATGGCTTACAAATATCTTTGGTCCATGCACTCTCCACCCTTTAATACTGTTTTAGTCTTTTTAGTACTTGTTTTCTAGTCCCATTCCCAATCGTGACAGACCACCCCTAATACTTTTGATATACATTCTTGAATCTATAGTTTAACATACATAGTATTGTGTGTGTGTACATTTAATTCACAGAAATTCTATTATGCTATACAGAAAAAAAAAAAAAAAAGAATTGCAGGGGTGCCTGGGTGTTTTAGTTGGTTAAGTGTCCGATTCTTGGTTTCAGCTCAGTCATGATCTCAGGGTTGTGAGATTGGCTCTGCACTCAGCGGGGAGTCTGCTTGAGTTTCCCTCTCCCTCTGTCCCTTTCCCATGCATGCACGTGCTCTCTCTACCTCACTCTAAAATAAATAAAATAAAAAGAATTGCAGTGAAAGCAAAATAGATTTTAAAAATCCATATCTACAGATATCACAGGAAAAATATGAAAAAATCTTAAAAGAACACAACTAAATCTCAAAGGACTTAAAGCATATGATACTACCAAAACAAAGAATCAAAATATGGCAATGAAAAATTACAGGCCAATATAGTTCATGAAAGTAGATCCTAATTCTAAATGAAATAATAGCATACTGAAACTGGCAATAGATAAAAATGATATATCATAACCAAGCTGGATTTATCACAGAAATCTAAGGTTTAACATTTAAAAACCAATTACTGTAATTCTCTGCATTATGATGGTAAAAGAAAAACAATTACATGATCATAAAGAAAAAAGCATCTGAAAATACACAACTGCTCATGATTTACTATTGGACTGGAAGGAACACCCACAGGGAACAGAATGGAGACGGTAAAGAACACTTCCACTGTCTTCCTTTACACTATGCACAATACTTCATTTCTGATACTTCTGGTCACCAAATAAATGGGGGGTAAATCTACCCCAAACATTTCTGTGACATTGGCTGGGTAAACTACAATTTAACTCAATTCTGACCCTACCTACCTGGAGATAACATCAGATCAGATCCCAGAGGTTAAGGGTTCAGTCCTATAAGACTTGCCCCTATCACCATCTCAAATGCCAATTCCACGTCCAGATTGCCACCTATACTTCTGACCGACTGGCTACAAATTAGAGGTTTCCATGACCCCATCCTCCTCAGGCTAGAGCAGCTCACAAAATTCAGAAAAACAGTTTACTTATTAGATAACCAGTTTATTCCAAAGGATATTAAAAGTTACAAATAAACAGCCAGATGGAGAGATACATAGGGAGAAACCTAGAAGGATTCTAAGCACAGGAGCTTCTGTTCTTATACAGTCTGGAGTACATCATCCTCTTGGCTCAGAGATGCTTTCTTTTGGTGCCCCCACCAAAAGAGGGAGAGAGAGAATCTTAAGCAGGCTCCATGCCCAGCCTGGAGCCCATCATAGGGCTCAATCTCACAACCCTGAGATCAGAACCTGAGCCAAAATCAACAGCCGGACGCCTAACTGACTGAGCCACTCAGGCGCCTCCAGAGGTGCATTCTTGTTCACCAACTCAGAAGCTCTGCAAACCCCTGGAGTTCAGGGATTTTTATGGAGGTTTCATTACATAGACATACTGATTATATCATTGGCCATCAGTGACCAAGTCTATCTCTAATCCCTCTCCCCTCTTAGACTAGGTCTGGTGGGGAGGGGAAACCTGAAAGTTCCAACCTTCTCATCACATGGTTGGTTCCCCTGGCAAGCAGCCCCCATCCTTAGA